AAAAAATCTTAAATTTGAATCAAACTATATGAAACTAATTTAATTACTACTATTAGAACTAAAATTCTAAATGTGGAGGTGAAAATGAGGATACGGCATCTGTCTTTCACGCGAGAGGCCTGAGTTCAAATCTGGACTGGGGACTAATAAAATGAAATATTTTTTCATATTTATTTTATTTCACAAATTAGCAAAGTCATAAATTATATTAAAATTAGTTATTTTGTCTTTTCCTAAAATAATACTTTAAATTTGTAGATTTTCGTTAGTGGGCGTAGAAAAAACATACTGTACAACTCCAGTGGATTGTCCACTGTTGTTGCACAAACTAGTATTAAATGGATTATTTAAAAAACGTATTTTTATACAGGGTATTTGTAAATAAGTACGAAAGATTTTTGCAAATTGTTATCAAAATTATTTTGTTAAAAAAAGTTCCTCTAAAAGTTCCGGGATACAGAATGTTTAAATTGTAATTTATTAAATTTTATTAATTATTTTAAATAGTTTTAAAGATATTTACTCTAAATTTGCAAAAAAACTTTGAAGGGACAAATGTGTATTTTTTGGGGTGTTCCAAATATTTGTACTTGCACCAGTTGCGTTTGTGCGAGAATGCCACTTTTTTGATCTATATTTTTTTATATAATAACTTCGGCAAACATTCCCTAAAATCATTCACACTTACCAACAAACACCCTTGATATAGAAAAAAGGTAGATATGTTTCCGAAATAATCATAGGAAATACATATGTATATTTAAAAATATATTTCGTAAATAAATTATTTAGTTAGAAAAAAGAGTTTCGAAAATGGTACACCAGGTTATACCTTTAAAAAATATTTGAAACGAGAAAACAAAACAGAAACTCTTTGTTAGACCGGACCTGCAATATATTGGCCTTTTTTATATTTTAAATCATCTATAGTTTAAAAGTAATAAATTGAAGGGAATAGAGCAACGTTGCCAAAGTGCGTTCAGATGCATTGAAAGTTGTCAGTGTGTTCTAAACCTGAATTTGCTCTTGGTGTCGCATGGATATCGCTCTTAACTAATTACTGCACATGTCAGTCCGTTTATTCGTCCGTTGTTTAATCAGCGACTTGTCCTTGTTGGAACGCAAAATGCAATGGAATTGGATAAACCAAACATATGTTTGGTAAATTGGTATTTTAAACATTATTTTAAATACAACATACATTTATTTAGCTGTCTTGAACGCTCTATGTGAATGTATAATTTTGAAACCTTAAGATGTTTATTTTTATTAAAAATAAGTACGCATTTTACATAAAAAAACCGTACACAAGATAAAAACAAAAATTATTTATTTCAATTAAAAGAAATAGAAACCCAAGCCACTTAAAATCCCAACAATTACAAACAAATAGCACGAACGAGAAGAGACGTTCAAATGCGCATGTGCTGATAAATTGTCCAAGCGATGAAGCTCTGATCGTTTTGACAATCCGCCGACTCATTCATGTACGAATCAGAAAATACGTTGGAACGTTTTACTGACAGTTCATCGGATTATCCGTGGCTTTGTAGGAACGGACTATTTTCAATGCGCATGCGTCTGACGTCCTTCTGATGATCAGATTCGCTGTTGAAACAAACCTTTAGTAATGCACCGTTTAATTTTTTACAAACACAAGCTATTTGGATATTCCAGTCTATATTATTGCTATCAATATGTATGCCTAAAAATTTTGTAGCATTATATCATATTTTACAATCCTGAGTAATTTGATTTTTGGAGTAAAACTTAACAGTTTTGTTTTAGTTAACAATTAAAGAATGTCTCCAACACTATGATTTATGTTCATTATATAAAACATTTAATTTACTAATTAATTCATCTGCTCATAAGGTGTAACTGGCAATAATTGTGTCCTTTGCATATAAAATTATGTTTTCAGAATTAATATGATTAGGCATATTATCATTAAACCTTATAGTCCAGGAGGCAGTTAATTTTTTTTATACTTATTTTCGTAGTCGGTGAATGTGACATTGTTCGGATGGTGACACAAAACGACAATATGTGAGTCTGGCTAAAATTTTTGGATGGGTTCACTAGATAAAAAAAAATCCAGTCCACTTATTTTCCCAGTCATAAATATTTGACATTTATTAAAGTGAATCATTTTATTAATGGAAATAACAGTCTGGCATATCCTAACTGGAGGAAAGTTAGTCTGGCTGAAAATTTGCGGATCCAAAAACTTGACCGATTTTTTAAATCCGTAACCCTTATTTTCCCATGCTTGAAATTTAACGTATCATTTGAGTATCAAATATGTCATAAACTATAATCAAAAGTAAGTCTGGCTGATTTGCGAAATTGCTAAATGAGTCTGGCATCTTGATAATTGTCAAAATTACAAAACTTTTGCCCTAATTTTCCCGGATTTAAAAATTTGTCCCATGATAAATACTATAAATTCATAGAAAATATACGTCTGGCTGTCATTTACAATCACGAAAACATTGCCACTCACAAGTAAGATAGTTGAACGAGGAGAGGAAGAGGCAGGTGCGTATTGACGCTGATAACGTGTATTGCGATAATGAAGAAGAAATTGATGAAGATGAAGAATTTATTTGATATGTCATTGTAGTTTCATATTTCAGTATTATTTTTAATTTAGTACAATTTTATTTTTCAATGTTCTGATTTTTGCACGTGTATTTTTCGATGTTAAATAAAAACTTGTTTCTGCAATTTTCATTAAAATTTATGAATTCGTAAATTAATATTTTTCAATCTTTCAATAAAGAATTCAGTATTTTATAAACTCACTACTGTGTATTTGCTTACTTTGATTTTTTTAGTCAGCTGAAGGTGATATTCCTCGTGTTTTAGCGAAATGTCTACCCGCTCGTTCAATTAATATCTTTATTGGAAATTTAATTCTCTACAATAGTGCTTCTTAATCTTGTTCGTATATTTTGTACTAGCTATTGCCTGCGGCTTTGCTCGCGACTTTGCTCGCATATAGTCGTGTTATTAATATAAAAAAATACATGACTTCCTTTTTTATTAATTTTTTTAGTTTTATTGATTTTCATTCATTTTTTTTTTATATTTATTCTTTTTTTTTTTTTTAATTTTTATTCATTTGATCATTTTTATTCACGTTTATTAATTTTTATTAAATTTTTATTCATTTTTATTAAATTTTTATTAATTTTTAATAATTTTTATTAATTTTTACCCCCGTTTTCCCCCCTTAAAATGTGAAAATCCAAAAACCATGAAACACTTCATTATTTATTTATGATGAGAACCTACAATTCCAATTTTCAATCAAAAAAATCTATGTTTCCAAATAAACTTTCACCCCCCGTTGCCCCCCTTAAAATGTGAAATTTCAAAAACCCTAAAACTCGTCATTATTAATTTGTACTCATTAGCTGCAATTCCAATTTTCATGTTTCTAACTTCAAAGAGAACAAACAAAGTTATACTTCCATGCAAACTTTTACTCCCGTTTGTCCCCCTCAAGATGTAAAAATATAAAAACCCTAAAACACATTATTATTAATTTGTACTCAGTAGATGGAATTCCAATTTTCATGTTTTTAACTTTAAAGAGAACCAAAAACATGGATACTCCCAAATAAATTTTCACCCCCCGTTTCCCCTCTTAAAACGTGAAATTCCAAAAACCCTGAAACATGTCATTAATACTTTGTAGTCAGTAGCTGCAATTCCAATTTTCATGTTTCTAACTTCATAGAGAACAAAAAAATCGATAGTCCCTTGCAAACTTAAAATGTAAAAAATCCAAAAACCCTGAAACAAGTGATTATTTATTTATGCTCAATAGCTGTAATTTAAATTTTCATGTTTTTAACTTTAAAGAACAAAGAGTTTCATTAAAAGCTCCCTCCCCCCATTTCCCCCCTTTAAAGTTAAAATTTCCAAAAATCCTTTCTTAGCGGATGCTTACGTTATAAAACAAAACTATGTTCCAAATTTCAGCTTTCTAGGCTCAGTAGTTTTGGCTGTACGCTGATAGGTCAGTCAGTCAGTCAGGACAAACAATTTTATATATATAGATAGTTCCACAGATAGTCGCGCCTGAATGTAAGAAAAATTTGTATTTTTTTTTTAATTTTCACTATATCACAAATTAAACGAGATATACAAAAATGTAGAGATATCTTTTTGTAGAGAATTAAATTACCTACATACCAAATATTCTTAGTCGTTCTCCCGTATATTGCTATAACTTAAAAACTAAGGAAGATATAAAAGAATGTCAAGAGATTGATTTTGTAGGGAAATAAATTTTCTACAAAAAACAACTGTACACATTTCTCGTATCTCTTGATAGTTAAAAAGTTATTCGCGAATAATGTTTTTTGATGACTGACAAAGATTTTACTAAAATCATGTTTTTTGGATTCCTGGGATCTCAAAACGTTGAGAAGAGTTTTTTAGCCATAGTGAAATTTCGCCCTAAACCAATACTTTTCTTAACATAAATTATGAAAAGTAAAAATATATTGTAGAGGTGACAACAATCACCTGTATAATTGAACATGCCAAATTTAGCGCATCTGACAAGGCTTTGGGGGTGTTCCACATTAGCCAGACTAAATTTGCAGCTGTAATTATAATATAAACTATCATCTAGGACTGAGAAAATAAGGTCAATGACTTTGATATTTTTTTCCAATTTTTCACCTGCCAGACATATTACCCACACTATTTTTTTTTTTTTAATAACTTCACTATATCTCTCACTAATAGAATGATTTTTATTACTGGAAAAAAAGTGCAGTATATTTGTACTTTCAAACGCATTTTCCGCTTCAACCCATCGGAAAACCCCCCCTAAATATATATGAATTTTGCTTAGAATAATTCTATCGGTGTTTCCTGACTGGGAAAATAAGTACCAGAAAACTTCACTCTCTCCTGGACTATTATATTAATATTAAAAAGATATGTTCGATTTTAGATATATAAAATTTTTTTTTCAGCTCCTTAATAACTGGGTTAGCGGAAGAAAAGCCGAGTACAATAAGTTTTGTATTAGATTTTGAAGCAGGGGCTTGTCTATCAATTGGATGGTCCAGTGGGAGAATCCAATATTATCCAATTATTTATACTGATTTGTCATCGAGCTCACCAGAAAATACTTATATTTCTTCAATGTACAATTCATTCAATTCTCCTGTCTTTTAAACATTTTATAATTTTACATGTAAAGCAATTTTTGTATCATTGTAATAGGTATAAGAAACTCAATAAAACAATTTTTGTAATATTTCATGGATTTAATTTAATAGAAATCCTAAAATGTAAAATCTTATATAATTTATTTTCTTACAATAGGAATGAACAATATACATATAATACTAAATAAGTAAAAAAAAAGTTATTTTCAATCGCTCAACAAATCGTCATCTATGTTGATATCCTGAAAAAGAAAATACAAAACTAAATAATGAAAACAAGTGCATTTACTGGAAAACTCACCGTTGTGTCTATATTTTCATCTATATTCACACCATCCAGGTCTAAATCTATGTCGTCGTCATCATCATCTTGATCAATTGAGAGTTTCTTCAATTGCTCAATAGGTGCCCTGAAAAATATAAAACTATGCAGTGCAGGTTCCAAGTACGAGGGTTGATCAAATTGGCGCCGCTTTTGAGACTAAGTAAGGGAACCCTGCACTAAAATTGTTTTAGTTAGTGTCACGATTCATAGCGAATCTAATTCGTAGTGCAACAGAAGGTTTCTCACAACACAGCGCCCAAAATCATCTGAAAGACTTAAGGCACTTGAGGACAACCCCCTTAACAAGTGTATAGAATTCAAATAAGCTACTAGGAAGTCTAATCAAGAACATTGCTCCCAGAAAGGTTATTAAATCGTATTTTTTATTTCAAATGAGTTTGTATTTCGATTTTGTTCAAGAACTGTGAAAGCAACAGATTAGTGTTAAATTTTGAACAAAATAAAATTAAGAAACTCGGCAACATCCGGCGATATTGATATATTGAATATAAATATACTTACTTCACAGAATATTGAGAAGAACTCCCAGTTACTCCACTATTCTTCGACTGGGCTTCCACCTCAGCTATAACGTTTCTTTCATGATTTGGGGTGATACTGGTTGCTAACATTGCTGGAGTAAATCCAGGGTTATTTTGTTCCAAAAATTTCTGTGCTACTATTGCTTCTTGAAGACCAGGAAACAGATTTTCATAATCTTTAGGATCTGCCAAGCTTTGTCCTGCTTTCTGATTGATAGTAGACAACTGTGTTCTCCAGAGATCTACCACTTCTGAGATTTTATCAGGTAAGTAAGACCTCGCAAAGAAAGCTGCTTCTGGAAGTCTTCCAGTTGTTATCAATATATTCAGACATTTATTTAAATCGCCAACTAAGAAATGAGACAAGAAAGATAGATTATGTTTGCCTTCTGTTTGAGTGGCATCCCCTAGCGCCCTTACTACTTTTTCATCTCCTGAGCTAGTAGCTAAAAGTAGCAACCCTCCGTAATCTTGAGCCTTCTGCATACATTCTTTGGCTAATTCTAGATTGTTCGTAGAAGCTGCAAGTTCGGCAAGTTGGCTCCATTTCTGAGGGTTATTAGCTTCCTGAGCTAAGGCTCTGGCTGTGTTTAGATCTTCTAGTGCAACTGCTAGTTCAAATCTATGTTCAGGATCTGAACTAACTGCCAAAGCTTGTTGCTTAAAACCTTGCTTTTCTAAGAAATGTGCCACTCTGGTTCTATGCTCTTTTGGAATAGAAGGCAAGACTCTATCAGCAGTTGAAAAATCTCTCCTCATCACAGCAGTTTGATATTCTAAGACTGAAAGAAGGAGCTGGTAGCTAACTACTCTTAGTTCTTTGTCTACTAAATAAAGCCTGTCATCTTTAGGGACATAACCAAGAACATAAAGTGGTCCATCTAGATGGGCTATTGTTACAAGTTCACCTCCAACAAAGTAATTTATACGGTTTACAGAATTTGTGTAAATGAAACAATCTCCTACCCATAGACCAGTACGTACAGACTCATTAATTTCACCCAAGAGATTAAAAGCCGATTCAACTCCATCATCAGCAACCTGTTGAAAATTTTTAATTAAGAACTTATATCAACAAATGAAAAAATAGCAATAATCTATGGCAACTATGTACAAAATATAAAAACATTGTAAAACACAACTGGTTGTTTTTACTGACCTGATTATTGTCTTTGGCCCTTTGTACTTCATCAGAATCATATGAGAGTATAAAATAACTATCTTCAGTGGCCAAGCAAACTAATTTGCCACTGTCAGACCAATATATTGCCCGTGGTTGTATTTCAATTCTTCTAACCAAATCCAAAGTTTCCCAATCATAGAAAGTCAATCCAGAAACGGATTTTACACCCAGAAGGTAGCCTCCAAATATACCTTAAAATAATATTCATGTATTGAGTTTATTTCAAAAGTATATTTATTATTTATTTAACCACAGCACAACTTTTTTTAAAGAAAAAGGTAGAAAACTCACGTACCTTCAGCACCAAAATCAGATTTGAAATTCTTCTTTTCTTTGAAATTTTTAAATATTCTAATTGTAGATCCAGATTCCCTGATAGCATATTCACTTGAATCTTGAGCCCACACAAACTCTTGGGCACTTCCAAAAGCTTTGTTCCTTAATGCCATAGCTGTGTAAATGATGTATTCTCCATCTCCACAAACTACCACGAAACGACCATTTGGATTGTGCTGGATAGTTTGTGGGTAGATGTCACATGCACCCATATCTTTCACAGAAACTGGAAGGCGTTCACCATCCCTAATTTCAGCACCTTTTATGAAAACAGTCAAATTAGTTATTAAAATTTAGCATCTAAGATATTCGCATCAGTAAAATACCAATGCACTTAATGTCATATTTTCTATAGAATTCTTACCCTCTGGAAGAGCCTTGAGGTTAGCCTGCTGCAATTCTGAATGTCTAGCCCAAATAATTTTTCCACCACTTGCATCCATACTAACAGCTGGTTCCTCTCTACCAACTTTCACCAAAATGCTACCCTCATCATAACCTAAAGCAACATTATTGGAACCCTTCAAGCAGAAAATAGTCCATACTCTTTCAAAGCCATAGTTCAAACTGCTTTCTAATCTGTGAGTATTTGCATGCCAAACTCTGATAGTACCATCTTCACTTCCAGTAAGAGCTATTGGGAGTTCAGGATGGAAACAAACAGCAGTAACGTTTTGTCCATGTCCTTCTAAAGTTTGGACACAAGTTTTATTCTGGTAATCCCAAATTTTGACTAATCTATCATCTGCACCAGATATTAGGTATGGTTTATCACCTCCATGGTAATAATCAACACAGTTTACTCCTTTTTCATGACCTTCGAGAGTGAAATTTGCAGTGGAAGCACCCAATTGCCAGACTTTTATGGTCCTGTCTAAAGAAGCACTGGCAAAGGTGTTGTTGTCTTTAGGGTTTATGGAAATTTGCATAATATAATGGATGTGGCCTTCAAACACCTGTTGGCAGGCCCATGCTTTTTCCCAATTCCATAATTTGATAAGCATATCATCTAAATTAAAAAATAATTATGAATAGATTGTATAAGTATCAATGGAGGCCTGGCCAAATAGAAAAAAAATACTTTTTTCTTTTAATTAGTTTTTTTGTTATATTTAGGTAGGTATGTTTGAAGTTTGACAATATAAAGTGTTTTAATTTGTGTTGCAACATAATATTAGTGGAAATGTGGAAAATATTAATTTATCTCACTAAGAGTAACAAATAACTCATTTTACATGTTTTCCAATTTTTGAGATGCATGTGCATGTTCAACTGATACTGCTAAGTAGGTAGGTAGAGCTGTTTATAAATGGAATAAAAATGTTTTTCTCTATAATTCCAGGACCTTTTATTTCACGGTAATACCACAGAATAAAAAGTACCAGCAGGTGCTCTCCTCATAAAAATATAAGGGTGACAACAGCATCCTAAGCAAGCAATTCGCCATTTTCTCCAGCTGCAGACTGTTATAGCACATCAGAATTACGATCGAAGCAGACAAAACCTCACTTATAAAAATCAAAGGATTTCTTATCGAGAGCGCCTGCTGGTCCTTCTTTATGCTGTGGTAATACCCCATCAAATTGCTTAATTAAACATTACTTACCACTACTTGTTAGAATATATGGCTGTGTAGGATGTACAACAATGGATCTAACATAATCAGAATGCGCTTCAAAGGCATGAACTCTATCTAGGGTATTATAATTAAAAACCCTTATCTGCATATCATCAGATCCACTGACAATCCAATTTTTTCTTGGTACAAATTTTGCAGCTCTCACTGGCAGATCACATACTTCAAAAGTTTTAACGAGTTGCTGATTTTCATGATTCCAGACGTTTATGTTTCCGCTGTAAAGGGAGCAGAGCATCCAGGGTTCTGTAGGATGGAGGTCTACACATTTTACCCGGTCAGAACGGGCTGTTAGCCTTCTTTTTATGTCTAAACGAAGTGGCTGAAAATTTAAAATATTGTAATAATAGTTTGGACTATTTATTGATATTACAAACCATTTTGAGACTTTACTTAATATACTTTATTTTAAGTTTTCTAAGTTGACACGAATTATAAACACATCACCATTTTTAAGTTGTCAAAATTTTATAACCTATATTCATACGTGGAAGTCTTCCATTTTATTAGAAATGGTCATTATTATTTCTATGTGATTATACAGTCAACTTTTTTAATTTTAAATATTGGCTCCTAGTGACATCTCTTAAAAAGTAGAATATTTTACTACAAAATTCAACAGAAATCTGTAAAATCCAATTCTTAGAAATGTTGTTATATAGATTGCTTATCCATATGTTTAAATCCATTTTATTAAATCAACTCGGAAGACGAAAAGCGCGCGCTGAAATGTGTACCAAAAAATCTTTCTGGCCTTTGAAAACTAATTTTCGGTCTTTGAATATTTTGTAAAAAAATAATACCTTAATTTTTACTTCAAGGACTTCAAGACAACACACTTGACTTAATTTTAGTTTACTTCGGAAACATTCGGTGAATTTTAAAATAAAACAAATGGAAACGCAACGAACAACGAATTTTGAATTAACTGCTACAAAATAATTATTACCGTAACGAAACGTGTACTCTTAATGCCAAAAAGTTGTCAAAATATTCGTTTTAAAAATGAAATGCGACGTTTAGTAAATAATTATTTTTATGTACGCACACTAAAAATATATACACACACACACCACAAGTATAACCGTTCTACGGCCTAAGAAAGACTGCTTATATGTTTCTATTAAATGTAGATTTATCAATAACACAACATGCACTTTTATTTTGTGGCCATTGTTTATAAATTTACAAATAATGATATACAACTAATAATTCGTTTTTTAAGAGTTTACTGTTTCATACACAGACGATTATGTCAATTGTTGAGTAAAAACCAAACATAAATATTCTAATTTCTAAAAAGGTTCGGTAAATGATAGAATGTATTAGATAAAGATAAAAGTAGGCCTGTGGTTCGCTTTCTGTAAATCTGACGTTTGATCATCCATATTATAGAAAATCAATCTACATAACTATATAGCATTGGTCATGACACGCCGCAAAATGTCAGTTATCTGTCATTTTCCAATTCTAACCTCACATTTATTACACTTCATTTCATCACTTTTCGAGTTTTCAATATTGTTCTTATTTTTAGTGAAACTGTAGAAATATGGCAGAAAAAACGCAGTTAACACCGGACCAAAAATTTCAACTCATCTCTAGAAACCTTCAAGAAATATTAGGTGAAGAGAAAATAAAAACAATATTGAAAGAACGGGATTTGAAGTTGTATTGGGGAACTGCAACAACTGGCAAACCTCACATTGCTTATTTTGTACCAATGTCTAAAATAGCAGACTTTCTGAGGGCTGGTACAGAAGTAACAATACTTTTCGCAGATCTTCATGCCTATTTAGATAACATGAAAGCTCCTTGGGAATTGTTAGAATTGAGAGTTCAGTATTATGAACATTCGATTAAAGCGATGCTTGAATCTATTGGAGTTCCACTAGATAAATTGAAATTTGTTAAGGGAACTGATTATGAATTAACTAGAGAATATACTCTTGATGTCTACAAGATGACATCTGTTGTTACAGAACATGATGCTAAAAAAGCAGGAGCTGAAGTTGTTAAACAGGTTGAAAATGCTCTACTCAGTGGTCTTTTATATCCTAGTAAGTTATTCAAATTATTGTTAAAATATTAGTTTATAAAGCAACTATTTTTGCCCCTTGAGACACATTTATTTTTTAAGTCATTATTTTAATTATAAATGTTTGTTGTTCATTTTTATTAATACATTTATTTTAGGTTTACAGGCATTAGATGAAGAATATCTTAAAGTAGATGCTCAATTTGGGGGAATTGACCAAAGAAAGATTTTTACTTTTGCTGAAAAGTACTTACCACAATTAGGATACCAAAAAAGAGCTCATTTGATGAATCCAATGGGTAACTATTTCTTTAGGAAGATCCATTAATTCATTTATATTTATTTTTAAGATATTATTTACATTAACTAATACATTTTCAGTACCAGGATTGACAGGCACAAAAATGTCCTCTTCTGAAGAAGACAGCAAAATTGATCTTCTAGATTCCCCATCTAATGTTAAAAAGAAACTGAAAAAAGCTTTCTGTGAACCTGGAAACATTGAAAACAATGGTATCTTGTCTTTTACAAAACATGTAATTTTTCCTCTACTGAGACCTGATGAAAAATTTGTGGTTCCACGAAAACAAGAATATGGAGGAGACTTGAATTTTTCACTATATGAAGACTTAGAGCAAGCTTTTGCTAAAGAAGAAGTGCATCCAGGAGATTTGAAAGCAGCTGTGGAAGTCTACATAAATAGGCTACTGGAACCTATCAGGAAGGCATTTGATACACCTGAATTGAAGAAGCTGACTGCAAAGGCTTATCCAACTCAAAGCAAAAATAGTAAGCACGAACTAACATAAACCATTACTTGTTTAAAATTTATTCAATACACCCTTCTTTTATTGAGGATGCAATCAATGCTGGTTTTATGAAATTTTTATTCATTTTTATTTATGATAAAAAGCTGTTGCTTAAAATATCAATTTCCCATCTCTAATAGATATTAAAAAATAGCGTAGTTGCTTAAATATTCGATTTTTAGAGGGACCTGCTACTCAAGCAATAACTAATGATGAAATTGTACCAAGCAGATTAGATATAAGAGTTGGTAAAATAGTAGAGGTGTCCAAACATCCTGAAGCTGACTCTCTTTATGTTGAAAAAATTGATTTAGGCGAAGAAAAACCAAGAACCATTGTCAGTGGGTTGGTTAACTTTATTCCTATTGAGCAAATGCAAGACAGAATGGTTGTAGTGCTTTGTAACTTAAAAGCAGCCAAAATGCGAGGAATAGAGTCTCAAGGAATGGTTCTATGTGCCTCAGTGTTAGTAAATATTTCATCATATTTTAATTTTTGAACACTGAATTTTTTTTTAAGCTCATTTATTTTTGTCACATTAATATTTTTTTCTTTAGGGATGATCCCAAGCAAGTGGAAACCCTAATTCCACCAGAAGATGCCCTTCCTGGTGAAAAAATTTTCATAGAAAACTTTGAAGGTGCCAAACCAGATGATGTTTTGAATCCAAAAAAGAAAGTTTGGGAAAAACTTCAAGTAGATTTAAAGACTAATGCTGACTGCTTAGCTCAGTGGCAGGGTAATAATTTGGTAACTAAATCTGGCGGGAAGATAAAGAGTAAAAGTATGGCGGGAGCTCCAATAAAATAAATAAGCTTAATTTTTTATGTATTAACTTAAGACATAATAGAATAACAATGCTTTGTTTAAAGGGTGTTTTATTGTATTTTTACCCTTATATGAGGGCCCTCATATAAAGTTTACTTAACTATGGTGTAAGGTGTTTTCTTGTCTCAAATAGGACTGCGTTAAGCAGAAAGCTACCAAGACAAACTGAGATAATCAGCTCTAAAGTTTTTGTTCGTTTAAGAAAGCTATAGGATGTGGGCTAGCATTTTATAGTTTTATAGGGTATATAATTAACTGAGGCTTTGTAGATTCTTACAGAATGCAGAACGTGTATTTTATTACCCAAATCCGCACTCAACCTAATATTTGGTATATTGAGGGTTGGTAGTTTTCTGCATAACGCCGTCCAATAATACTTACCTTGGACGCCTTGTGGCGCTAGTTTTGTTAACGTGGTTTGCTCCACACACAACCCTTCGATGCAGATTGCAAAAGGACTCTGAAATGGAAAAAGGAACTACGATCGTGGATAGTACCTAAACCTAGAATGATTCAGTCATCATCACAGCCCTCTCATGGAAGGAAATGACAATATAAGAGATTTGTTCAAAGTCGGATCAATTGTGGAACTTAACCTGAACCTCTGTGTACCCAACAAGGGTCACAGCTACCTTGCAATCTTGCCTGTAAAATTTGTGAAGGTTCAACTTGCCTTAACACTGAAAGATATTCAGATGAAAACGTTAATGTGCCAGAGGCCTCAGATGAGGGAGATGTTCCCCGTATGCATACATCAGTCAATGACGAAGAAAATAACCAGACACATTTGAGTTATTAATTAAGGAATGACAAACTTACAGGTTCATTGTATTCGATTTGAGGCCAATAAAAATTGTTTTACCGTAAATTACATAAATATTGCGTTTCTATTCATTCTTTCTTTCCTCCTCACGTAATCTAGGTCCAGGTCTAGGTTCAGACGCACCAGGTGTCCATGCGATGTTCGCCGATGCCATATTTGAATTCAGCGACCCAAAACCCCCCCCCTTTAACGATTTTCGGTTCGTCTTTTTCAATTGGGTCTGGAAGAACCTCGGTGAAGACGTTCAGGGCCAAGTTAGGGCGCACCAAGTGTTCGGGGGGTCGTTTTCCACGTGAAATTCGGATTCAGCGCCCCAAAAAAACCCCCGGAACGATTTTCGGTTCGTCCTTTTCAATTGTGTCTGGAAACCCCTCGGGGATGACGTTCAGGGCCAAGTTCCGGTGCACCAGGTGTTCAGGGGGTCGTTTTCGACGTGAAATTTAGATTCAGCGCCCCAAAAAACTCCGCTCAATCATTTTCGGGTTGTTGTCGATATTGTGCGGAAAATTCTCGGAGATGACGTCGAGGTTTGGGCGCACCAGGTGTCCGAGGGATATTCGCCGATGCCATATTTGGATTCAGCGACCCAAAAAAACCCCGATCGCCTAGTTGCCCTCCTTCTCCGCGTGAATTTTGTGGGTCAATTTAGACATCATAATCGTGATCAGCGACCTCGAAAACCCCCGATAACCCGATCTGGGCTAGTTCTGACACTTATTTAACAAGTTTTGAAATCATCCAAGAGGCCTCTCAAATAATGAATTTTTGGCTGCAGCAATGCAATTTCCGGTTTGTATGACCCGGAAATTACGGGGGAATGATACAAATAATTTTTGCAAGCGAATGAAAGAAACCGCATTCCGATCCGACTTGCACGGAAAAACCCAGGAACTTTTTGCTTCATTGCTTCGACTATATGGAGAAGTCGCGCCTGTCATAAAGATACTATCACTTGCATATTTCAAACTGAAACTTCTGAGAATGTCAAATTAGACGATTTTCATATAATTTTAACAGGAGTTGTAGAAAAAAGAGTATGATACACATAAAAGTAGTTATTTAGTTTGAATGATTTTTTAACTCATTCCGCTAGTTTCAAAATTTTACATTCTCACAAAATAAAATTGGACTTTAACAACACATATCATAACTACTTAACGAATGACATATAAACTGTTATAAAGAGAATTTTAGATACTTAAATATTCGTGACGATGGTAGTTAAGAGATATCCCTTTTCTGGTTTCTTATCTATGTGAACTCATGATCAGGAGCGGAGTAATCAGACGAAAGTCTACTTGCTTCAGGACTAAAGATACCTGGGACATGCCCCAGGATGAAATGCAAAAGAAGTACAGTTTTGTGAAAAACTTCAAAACCACAGAGCTGGGCTGCAAGAAAGAATGGAGCCAAGAATCCATCGCGCTTGCAACTGAAAGACGTGCTATTCAGTGGTTCACGGACGGTTCCAAAACCATAGAAGGAACTGGAATAGGAGTGTATGGGCCGAGAACCAAGCACTCCGAAAGCTTGGGAAAATACCCAAGCATCTTCCAGGCGGAAATTCACGCCATCGAGATGTGTATCCAGTTTAACATCGAGAGAAACTATCATAGACAAGAGATTATCATCATGTCCGATAGTCAAGCAGCCATCAAAGCGCTGAGTTCTTACGTAATCAGCTCAAAAATGGTATGGAGATGCCTAGAACAATTGAATGAGCTAGGCGAGAAAAATAGAGTTACTCTCACTTGGGTCCCGGGACATAACGGGGTACAGGGTAACGAGATTGCAGATAGTCTTGCAAGGAAAGGGGCTCAAACACCCTTTGTAGGACCTGAGCCGTTCTGCGGTATCAGCAGTAACATAATATTAGAAGAGATTAAAAAAGAATTGGGTAGTAGAAGAACCGATAATTGGAACAATCTCTTGGGGCTGAGACAGGCCAAGATACTTCTGGGTGAATATAACCAAAAAAGATCGGAAGCCTGCATCTGCCTGAGCAAGAACAGTCTACGTATTGTAACAGGGATCCTTACCGGGCACTGCCGACTAAAAGGACACCTAAGTAAACAGAGTAGTAGAGGATAGTGAGTGAAGATTCTGTGAGGAGGAGGACGAAACCTCCATTCACATCCTAACTGAATGTGTAGCACTCCAGAATCCAAGGGCACTATATCTAGGAGGATATCAAATAGAAGAGGGAGACTTACCTAACTTGAAGCCACTTCAAATCCTACACTTCCTTGAGAAAATAGGATTGGAAGGGTCGCTATAGGCATTGAGACATTTCCTTAGTGCAGTGGCGACAGAAGGGGGCACAATAGATCTTTTAGGTCGCAGTGTATTAACACCCCATTATCAACATAACATAACATGTGAACTCATATTCATAAGATATGCATTTAATTAAATATATTGCAGTTGTTTAAGGTTTGCTTGCAAGATCAAATGAAATATATTTTATATCATAAAAATCAATTAATTATTCAGTTTGACAATTCATAAGGTGTTCTATTATAAACCAATATTTAATCTTGATTTTGATGAAGAAGTTCTAAATTAATAAATAAATCACGAAAATTATGTCAAAAATATTTTTATTAAAAAAACAATAAATATAATTTTCACAGAAAATATCACTTCCAAATTTCTTAAAATAGTAACAATAAAAATGCAAAAGTGCATTTTCTGTCGAGATTCCATATAATAGAACTCGATAAAAGTGTACCTTATTACATAGTATCAACAGACTTAGCAAGACACAAAAAAAAGAAATTTCATATTTCGTTTATGCAACTAAGTTAAATTTTCAATATGTCTAAACAGTACAAAATGATTAATAATCCGTACAAATTTAGACTAATGAGCAAACTTTATATTTTTATCTATTACAAATAATCAGTCACAGCGTAAAGGATTCAAGGAAAGAGTACTCTTCTAAACTTGAATTTTTAACTTAGAGGCAATTTTAGACCACTAAAGAGCAAGTACCTTAGAAATTATAATTATATATCATTTAAAACTCGTGGACGGCAGGAGTAAAAATTAAGTAGTGTTACACCAAATGTAATGTTTATGGAGGAATGATTAAAAACAGGTATATAAAGTCAAGATCCTACACCCAATGGGTAAAGAGCTTAAGACATATGAAAAGCAATGTGAAAATCTCATTTCTTATTATGGAAATTTATAATATTCTCATTTTTTAAGTATGTATGTTTAACGTTTTGGAAAAATTCGAACAGTATTATGAGAAATGATTAATTTGTTCCAATAAATAATTAGAAACCCCCAATAAAGATGTGAAGGCTAAAAGATGAAGTAGAAACAACGGTTTTGAAGACACAAGTGGTTTAACAGACTTTGCTTTAATAAAATGTGGCAAATTTTGAAAATAAATAATATTAAAATTTGTCACATTTTACCTCTAACGTTTAAAGAGCATAAAAAACTTAATACAAATAATCAAAATGTATCAAATGCGTTTCTAAGACGTTGGCAGTGAAATAAACATGTTTTATCACCAACCGTCAATAAAGCCATATTTTACCTTACCGATTTGCGGAAGTAAACAAACACTTTATTTCACTGTTAAAACAAATATTTTATCTGCCGCTAATATTTATCAGTGTAGCCATTTGTTTTGTAGTCGCTGTTATTCTTCTGTTTGTTTACTTTGTCATTCTAAAATGTGATGTTATATCTCCTTTTTTATTAATTATAATTATTTACGGTTGGCGATAAAAGTTTGTATGGATCTCGTCAGCAAAGTATCTTTATCGAATACGCCTGATACTCGCTCGGCTCATAATCTCGGACTGGTTCGATAATCACTTTGCTGACTTGGGGTGAGATTACAAAACGTCTGCAACTTTGCAGATCTGCAAATATGGCGGCAACTTTGAAAATCTGCAAATATGCCTGACATATGCAAGTATCAAGTTTTCGTATTCCAAATTTGAGTTTAGTGTTGCGAATTTTAAGATATTTTTTTGGAATACTTGCATTTGTAAGTCCGCCATATTTGCAAAGTTGCAGACGTTCTGTAATCTCACCCTTTGTACATAAATAATTATTATTGGAACAAATATTATTTTACAATGTATAAACAGTCTGATTTCAATGATTCGAGATACATATTCATAGATTTTGACAAATGTAAAATACGAGACTTGTTCAATTGAACACCCTTATTCAAATTAAACTTGGAAACAATATAGTGAGTTTTTTAACGTTCCGATTTAATTGTGTGTTAATTTTGTAGCCAAAAGTCCATTTAAACAAGATCAACGTGCAGTCATTAAATTTTTGTGTGTTAGAGATATTCACTAAAGATTGATATGCAAATGGTCTATGGAGGTTTATTAGAAGAATTTAAGGACAATCATATACAAATTAAAAGAGTTCTGTACAATCAATTAATAGAAAAGCTGGCGTAAAGCCATAACTTTCGTCCTATGAAGAAAGCATTAAAAGGTCGCAGCTTCAAGTGTACAGCTATGCAATAATTCTTAAAATAGTTTTTTAATAATCTAATTAATTAAATCTTTTATAAACAGAAGGTGAATTTCAATTGAACAAATCACATATTTAAAAAAAAATCCCAACACCTTCTATTGAATTGGTGGACTCGGGTCTGCTTTAGTAAAATAGTTGGAAATATAGTTGAAACGTTTCTCAAAAAATAACATTTAGTCGAATATTGTAGATTTTTATGTTAGATCAATGGAGACTTTGAATTTGTAGAGTTATCATTTGGCAATTATTTTTTGAGAATAAACTTTTCAACCATATTTCTATTTTACTAAAACACACCAGCCCAGCATTTCCTATACTTTTTACAAAAAAAAAAAAAAATGTCAAAATCGTGTAAGATTAAATAATTCTTAACAAATTTATTATGATTTAAAAAATGGACACAAAAAATTTCACTTCTAATTAAAAATAAGATAGATAAAAAAAAAAAAAAAAAAAAATTGGTGCCACTCTACCGCCATTGTTCTTCAAATACTCTTGATGCCGTGTATCTTAAGCAATTCCTTTAAATGCAGTATTTCATCATCCTTTTCGGCCAGCTGCATTTTCAACTGTTCCATTTGGTCGTTCTCCGTGGAATTAAAGGTCCTTATTAGAGTGGTCGTATCTGGCCTAAATTCAGGGTTTCGAATTACTAGCTTCTCAATTATTTCAGCTATTTGCGGATTTTTTGATAATAGATTTGGAGGTATGTGGCTTTTGCGCAACTCCGTGATGTACCGGACACGTTCCATGTCGGTACGGAAGTTTTCTACCAATTCAAAGAGCACGATTCCTAGAGAGTACATATCGCTCTGAAAAAAAAAAAAAAAAAAAAATCATTTTATATTCATAATAGTAAAGATTCAAAAACGTGTATATAGAGGTTAATTACTTACTTTTGGATTGCATTTTCCTGCCAGTTGTTCAGGTGCAGCATACAATTTGGTCCCAAATGCAAGAGTGTGACGAGCACTTTGTAATGGACATGCCAATCCAAAATCTCCTAATTGTATTAGAATATTGCCGTTTTCGATTTGGATAAAAATATTACTAGGTTTGATATCATGATGAACTATGCCCTTGGAATGAATATATTCCAACCCTAAAAAAGAACATGGGGTCACTAAATATCTGTCATTATACTAGAACGTTTTGTTATTCAACCTCCAATTAGATAAAATAGTCAATATATTATTAATAAATCCAGACACGGAAATCTAAACGAGGACCATCTATTTTATAATGAATTGGACAAGGTATAATTTGACCACGTCTGAAACAAACAAAGACTACTGAACGACGCATTACCTATTCTGTTGCCTCGCGGAAGGTACATGCGATTTCCTACTCACTCCCACTTACGCTGACTTGGCTTGTAAATAAATAAATAAATAAATAAATAAATAAATAAATAAATAATAAATAAATAAATAAATAAATAAATAAATAAATAAATAAATAAATAAATAAATAAATAAATAAATAAATAAATAAATAAATAAATAAATAAATAAATAAAACGTTTCAAAATCGCCTGAGAAATCTCACACAACTTCTGTCTCAGACAATAATAACTTAAATAATTCGTCTCAAGTCATTTCTGGAAAAAGAGGAAACTTCTCACCGGCTAATTCCGCATTAGAAAAAGAAAAAATCAAACTTCATACATCCAACTCAAGTTCCAGCTCCAAAAGCGACAATTCTAGTAGAACAACAAGAAGTAACGTAAAGAAATAACGTTAACAATAATATTATCGTCCAACTCTAGTAAAAATTTAAGTTCCTTCCAATTTAATTCCTATGTTTTTGTAGCTATTGATTTTATTTCTAATTATTAAATAGCTGTCTCATTATGTTTAAATCATTTTCAGTTTGCCATGTTAATGCTAGATCTGTTTTGTCAAATTTTGTCGAATTTAAAAATGCTGTACATAATCACAGTATCAGAATCATGGTTTAATAATTTAATTAGGAACGAATCGGTTGCCTTGCCGGGATACAGACTTTTTAGACAAGATAGAATCAACAAGAGGGGTGGAGGGGTTGCTATGTATGCTAGGCAATGTTTTAATGCCAGCGGTCCAGACTAGATAAATATTACTATGCTACTCCACTGCTGTCCATTTATTCTACAGTACCTAACCCATATTTTTAACTACTGTCTCAGTAACTCTATCCTTCCTTCACTGTGGAAAAAATCTAGAGTAATACCACTCCCAGAAACACACAATCCATTGGAATATAGCCAACTAAGACCTATAAGCATTCTTTGTACACTGTCCAAAGCATTAGAAAAAATAAAGGCAGAACAAATAAGACTTCACATCTTCCGATTTGATAAAATACTTATAAATCAGTCAGACTTTTGTCCAAATCACAGCTGTACTACTGCACTGCTTAAGGTTTTAGATTACATTTATCAAAGTTAGACTATTCAAATCAAAATCAATCACAGTCTGATTAGACCTATTTATCATTATATAGGATTTGTAATTTCTTCTTTAAATCTGCTTCAATCATATTTAGACCAAAGGACACAAAAGGTAGGTTTAGGTGAAAAAAGTTCAAACGATATTCTAATCACTCGCGGCGTACCTCAAGGGTCTATTCTAGGGGCCTCTCTTATTCTCATTATATTCTTCTCAATTTCATACACCTTAAATATATGAAATCACATTTTTATGCAGATGATTTAGATTAGATTAGGAGTTGGACGTTATTTGTCCTTGTCCACCGCGACCTTTTCAGATCTATTGTGGGAGATATGCAGATGATACACAACTGTGTCTTGAATTTATAGAATCTGAAATTGAAGAAGCCTTCTGTAATATAAATGATGACTTGAGAACATTATCAGAATTGTCCACAAAATTCTGTCTATCAATTAACGCCACTAAATCAAAATCTATGTTATTTGGTAGTAAGTTCGCTAGGAATTGTGTAAATAATTCTATTGTTCAGATTGATAATAAACCAATTAATTTTTCAGATTGTGAAAAAAATTTGGGAATATATATTGATGATTCTCTCACATTTTCTCAGAATACATCTTTTGTTGTAAGAAAAGCTTTCTCAAACCTAAAACTTATATATTCACACCGACACTTATTAAATAAGCAGGCAAAAATACTAGTATGTGAGAGTCTGGTTCTTTCACAACTAAATTACGGCGATGTAATTTACGGACCTGCTTTGTCACAATTTGATAAAAACCGTCTTCAACATATTCAAAATGCATGTGTACGACTAATTTGCGGAATCGTATCTCTACTTCACAACATATGGCGAAACTTGGCTGGTTGAATTTAAATAATCGAAGGATCCTACATGCCTCTTTACTATATAAAACAATTATACTTATTAAAAAACCTTCTTACCTATATGAGAAAATTAAAAAAAGATCTGAGGTACACAACATAAATGTTAGATTTAAGGACAGCATATTAATACCGAAACATAACACAATGCTGTTCCAATCCAGTTTCTCTTACAATATACCAAAAATCTATCTCATCCCAACCGAATTTAAAAAACTACCTATTTCTAATTATAAAAGAAAAATAAAAGAATCCTTATTGAACGGAAGTACTCTATTTAAATTTTTATTTATATGATAAAATAATTAATAATTAGGCATTCCAACGACCTGTCAAACAATAGGTACCAGTGGGAAATTCTTGTATATTTAAGGGGGTAGCGACATAGTCTTGCAACTTGGACGCTATTTTTATTCGAAGTAGTACTCTCCAAGCCTGCCAATTTATGAAGAAATGTATAGGTGGGTTTTTTTAAATATTATTGTTATCGTGTTTGACATAAAATATTTAAATGTAATCCATTATTCATGATTTTACGTAAAGTAGATAGAATACACCATATGTCGCCACCCTTAGGTATACCAAACCTGCCCACTGGTAATTCATTTGTTTGGAATGCCTAATTGATTACTCATTAACAAGCAGATCTATCTCATTCTTCTTCTTCTTTTTTCTTTGTTTGGGCTTAACTCTTCTGAATTATTTACCCAGCACCATTTGTAAATGTTATTTGTTTATGGAACAAGCTGCGCTCTCACGCATCTGTCTCTAAGACAACACTTCTTATCTCATTCTCCAAACTGACTATATTAATTTTCTTTCTCCAAACTGACTATATTAATTTTCTTCTTTTTTAATGATTATTGAAATTTATTTGTTTTATTTTATTTTCCTAGGTGTGGAAGAGCAGATTCTTTGGAAGATTTAAGAGAATCTTCCCAAGAAATCTGAACTTTGCCTTTTGACTGTAATTATTATTATTATTATTTTTTTTTTTTTTCATTTTAATTAACAGTCAATAAAAACCTTTATTATTATTATTATTTTGGAAATCGCCTAAAATTTTTTTATGTGATTTTGCTGAAAATTCCACACCTGTAATTTTGAACCAATCAAAATACGTGTTTTTGACAGATCACCATGGCAACGGAGGTATTTTAGTGGAAATTTTTTTCTCGTGGGGTACCCAACAGCGAATTATACTGGAAATTTTTTGACGTTTACAATAACAGACCATTTTTGACAGACTGGTTTTTATTTGTTCACATAATAGGTTTAGTTTTGATACATTTTAGTTACAATGCTAAGGTGTTTTCTATATTCTTCGGCCACTTCTTTTCTTCTTAATGGCGAAAATGCAGGACTTTGGATGCTTTGAATTATGTGTCTATGTCTAATAAAATATATATAATATTTAGACACTAATTTATTCACCTTTTTCCCATTCAGCTCTTTGAATTTTGCGTAGTTTAGGTGCAAATATTCGTGGACAATTAGGAACAAATTTTCGTTTTTCAAGTTGGAGCCACAATCCTCTATTAATCCGAGTAAGTAAGTCATGGTGCAATGATTGATCATTACATCAGACAATTTCACGCATATTTTGCATAGCGTATGATTTTCAAATCGATTCATTTTTAAACAAATAGGTAATTTTGTTGGTTTTACTTGCTGTGCAATATTCTTTATCGCAACAAAACGCGAGTTATTTAATGTTTTGAACTGTCAAAATACAATGATCACAGCCTCCTACGATTGATGCTTGCTGACGCTGGTTATGAATTTCATACCATTTTAAAGCGCTCATAACGCATGTTAATAAAAACGCAGAAAAACAATTTTCTACCACTTGTAGTTATTCAAAACTTACGTAAAATTAAAGAATATACTATTTTCTATTTTCAAATGGTATTCCCATGCAACTACAATGAGTAGAAATAAGCAATTTGAAGGCCTAAATAATTGCAGCGAAACATTTTTTTACGTCGGGCCGCTTGACAACTTCAAAACTGAAATTATATTCGAGGTTAGGGTCTCACTTAGTTACCATGACAACTCAACAATCAAGGCGACAACACCTTTTATGTTTCACTGGTGACTTGGAGAAAATAATTTGCATTGTTGAGAAACGAAAAATAAATTTTAAAAATATTTAATTTTCAACCATAATTCGGCGTGGAATTTTCTTACCGAATGCCACGCGAGGTCAAATTAATATCAGGAAATAGTTTGACCTCTAGTGGTATTACTAGTGAAAATACGAATTTTATACGATGACCTTTTTTTTTGACCATTCCCTTTTCTTTTGATCCACAAGCTGCTGAATTTACGTTTTTGAGTGACGAATTGATTTCGAAGTGATTTCGGCGTTGATTTGGACTATGAATTTCGATGATTTTGGAATTTTCTGAAAAGTTTGTAGTGATATCGAGAAAAACGTACCAGTATTCCGGGAGTGGTTTACTCTTCGGGACTACCTGATTTCCATCACTTTCAAAAGGCCTGCAAGCTATTTTTTAAATATTTAAATGAATGAAAAATTAAAATACAATACTGGAATTAGCAAATCTTAACATTTCTATCAACGTCGACTCTTAACACAACAACGTGTACCCCAGGAAACAATAAGATTGGAAGACATTCCACTCCACACTCCACTGCATTACAATTGGATGCCACAGTCAATCTGGTGGACTAATTTTTAAATAAAACAAAATCACCAGCGCAGTGAGAACAAATAGAAAAATTATGAACGGTTAATTGAAATAATAAGAAACGCGAAAATATACAAATATATGTTAAAGACGGTTTTTATCAAATTGTGACAAAGCAGGTCCGTAAATTACATCGCCGTAATTTAGTTGTGAAAGAACCAGACTCTCACATACTAGTATTTTTGCCTGCTTATTTAATAAGTGTCAGTGTGAATATATAAGTTTTAGGTTTGAGAAAGCTTTTCTTACAACAAAAGATGTATTCTGAGAAAATGTGAGAGAATCATCAATATATATTCCCAATTTTTTTTCACGATCTGAAAAATGAATTGGTTTATTATCAATCTGAACAATAGAATTATTTACACAATTCCCAGCGAACTTACTACCAAATAACATAGATTTTGATTTAGTGGCGTTAATTGATAGACATAATTTTGTGGACAATTCTGATAATGAAGGGGTGGCCATTAGGGTGTTTCATTTTTGGGCAACATTTTTTTTTTCAACTAAAAAACAGGCTTAAAACTTTCAGGAAGGTGAAAAAAGACGCTTTTAAAAATTTGAGTTCTTAATATTATCATTTAGTGGTGCCTGTTCCTAACTTTCCATTTTCCATCTAAATAACATGGAATTTTTTTCTTTTTTCTTATTTTTGTAGCTTGACATTTGAGCATTGTAAAAATAAAGTGAAAAATTTTTTTGATAGGAAACTGAACGCTCTACAAAAAGTTTTAATTTATTTTTTTCATAGAGTGAGCCATTCTGAAGATATTCAAACTTAAAGTTGCAAATGTATGAAATTAGGACTTTTATTTTATTAAACTAATACTGATGATTTTTTTTATGTCTTAAAAATTATTTTTAATCTGAAAACTGGTTTTTGTGCGCTAATATTTTTAGAAAGCTAAAATAAAAAAAAAATACATCTTAGCTATTATTTGATTAACTGTTAAACAAAAGTAATTATGAATTAGGTTCAGTAAAATTATTATTTTATAGATTAAAAAAAACTTTTTACCAATTAGCATACTAAAATTTTGAAACTAATAGATATTTTAATGTCTTATCAGAATTAAATGATGTAACTATATTTGTTGAAGTTTTTTTATTACAATTTGGATATTTTCGTCGGTGCTTCTTTACCACTTGTAATATTAAAATTGTTCCTCATCTTTAGTTAGGCATCTATTATATTCTTCTACTAATTCGACGCCATGACCTGCAACGTCATTGACAACTTTCAATTTTTCGAAAAACTCCAAATTCTCTTGATAACTTTCATTATCTGGCCAAATTAATACATCTGCATCCAGAAAGTCGTACGGCAAATCAAATTTGTCAAAAAGTTTTAATGATTGTTTTGAAATAAAGTCACTCATATTTTTGTTTAAAAATATTTCTGGTGAATTTTTGTCTTCTGTGCGTCGTTATTTTCTTTCTATATGAAAATAATGATGTTTTCTTGAAAATAATTTTTAAGACATAAAAAAGTCATCAGTTTAATAAAATAAAAGTCCTAATTTCATACATTTTCAACTTTAAGTTTGAATATCTTCAGAACGGCTCACGCTATGAAAAAAATATATTTGAGCTTTTTGTACAGTGTTCAATTCCCTACCAAAATAATGTTTCACTTTATTTTTACAATGCTTAAATATCAAGCTACAAAAATAAGAAAAATAATTTTCCATGTTATTTAGATGGAAAATGGAAAGTTAAGAACAGGCACCACTAAATGATAATATTAAGAGCTCAAATTTTTAGAGGCTTCTTTTTTCACCTTCCTGAAAGTTTTTAGCCTGTTTTTTAGTTGAAAAAAAAAAAAAAAAAAAAAAGTTGCTTAAAAATGATACACCCTAGTTGCCATATTTACGAAAGGCAAAAGCGAGACAACAGTGACGGCAGGGAATCGGGTAAAAATACCAATTATTCTCTGTACGAAAGTAAACTTAACTTGAAGTATAAACAAATTATGATTCATTGATTATATTTTTTTCTATAAATAAAGTGGTTATCTAAAAAAGTAAATAAAAACATTTTGAAAAATTATCAGAGGCCACTTTAATTTAACATATATTAGGAAGTTTCACAATAATCAGATTGTAAATATTGTAATTTTAAACAATATTGACAATAATTACATTTAAAACAATGGAAAATGACTTTTTTTACTGAAAACATTTATCAAATCTAAAATTATAGGCACTTACAGGAAGAAAAAATTATTGAAGTGCATAAAAACAATTTTATCTATTCTTAGAAAGATACCGAATTATAAAAAAATATATATATTTCTATCTAATGTTACTGGTTAATAAATATTTATTGATTTATTGCAGATCTTTTTACCTCTGAGTAAAGTACTTAATAGATTATCGAACTATTGTCTAAATTAGCAAGTAGTTGCTACCAACTTTACCTAGATGTGAAAAGTCTGGCCCTAAATTTAATAATATACCGGGTGTTCAAATTAAAGTGTTACAGCTAAATACCGCCTTTTATAAAAAAAAGATTTCAGACGAAAGTTTTAGTTTTGTGGGGAAAAATTTTGGCTAAAATCGTTTTTTATAGCTAACCATAATATGGCCAACTTTTTTTCGCGCAGCAAAATTTTCAAGTAGCTGTTACTCGAAAAGTAAAAGTCCAATAAAAATATATTTTCTTCAAAAGGTTCTTATTTCTTTATGTACTTTAATATTGTAAAAAAATGGGCTCTAATTTTAAAAAAAAAGTCCACCTCGATATGGCCATATTATGGTCAGCTATAAAAAAATGAATTTGGCCAAAATGTTTCCCCCAAAAAACTATAAAACTTTTGTCTAAAACTTTTTTTTCTAAAATGCATATTTTCGTCGGTATTTAACTGTAACACTTTAATTTGAACACCCGGTATATTATATTAGTACATTAATTCACCAATACTGACTCCAGGAAAATAGCATTGAAAAACGATACTGTTGAATAGAAGAAATCACAAATACATGCTATTCCACTAATGGTACAGGTATAACCAAGCGTCCAATTGTGACAGGCAGGAGTCACAAGTTACTCTCTTTATGCCTCTTATGCTACTATATAACATTTTTTAATTTTTAAATTCGAATTCGAGAGACGCTAAAATGGTGGTTCCCACCTTATCGAGACTGAGGCCCACAAGGGTAAACTCGTAGCGTAAAAAAAAACAAGAAATGATTTAACTTGGAACGAAAAACCGAAAGCCGATAGTAGTATTAAGACGTTGAATTTCTTGGTTTGTGAAGCATTGGCATTACTTAGGTAAAACCATGTGATGATTTTCACAAGCCTTGATTTTTAAAACCATTCTAGATTGCCTTTTGATTAGAGTTTACAAACTTGTTCGAGCAATTTATCTAATAATAATTGGCCCCTTTACCTCTTACGCCTGCTCATGTAAAATATTTAGGCTCCTTACTTCGCCTATTTATCTAAAAATATTTGGTCCCTTTTAAATATGGCCATGTAAAATTATATGATCCATACATATTTTTTAAAAAATAACTGTAATTAAAAATTTTCCCGTTTTTATCCGTTATTCTTAAAAGAGTACGTCAAAGTTTTACCCTCAACATTTATGGGCTGTTTTCAATAAGGGCCATCAATTATTTAAAAAATAAAACACAATTTCCAGATATTTTTTTGTTAAACGTAATGTGAAATGTCACTATTCATTGCCTATTTTTGGTTTTTTCGATTTGAATTTTTTGATTTGAATTTGTCGATTTGGATTTTTGGATTTGGTTTTTTTGAATTTCGATTTTTTGATTTTTCGACTTTTAGATTTTTCGATTTTTAATTTTTAGATTTTCGTTAGTGGGTCGTAGAAAAAATATACTGTACAACTCGAGTGGATTTTCCATATCCACTCTTGTTGCGCAAAATACTAATTTTCTACATCCTCATATTAGCTTATCTACGCACAGACTACAAAACGAACAAGTATGCTCTTACGTTCAATTGAACGAATATATTTCATATCCATTCTAGGTAGTGAGAACACTAAAAATGAAATCCACCAATCACACTACTATTATTTTTATAATTTTAAATAAGGTGTATGGTTGCAACTATGAAAGTCGTAACCCTCCTTAGAAATATCAACTTTACAATCAGCAGCTGTTGTTTGACAGGTCGTTGGAGAATGTTTGCAATTTATGGAATGTTAGGAATTTTAGACGTTAAGAAAGCTCGGAATGTGCAAAATTAGTCACATGAAATGCATAGGAGGATTTTAAGAAAATTAATATTAAAGTAGTTAGGATCAGGATATATATCCGATATATATCATTTTTAAAATTTAAAAACAGTACTGTTTCTTGCACAAACTATATTTTAAATTTTAACACAAACATACTAACAAAAACCTATATTCTAAACAACAAAACCGTTTATTCTAACTCAAGTTAAGAAGAACAAACAAAAATAATTAATAAAATAAACCGATTTTAACATTATTTTGTTAACATTAATATTTTAACACAAACACATATAAATTGCTAGTTATTATACTTTTATACAGGGGCGTATTGAGACATTTTCAGATGTTCAGAATGGTAGAAAACATTTTTAATTTAATAAATAATATATCGTATATATATCACTTGATATATATCCTCCGAACCCTGGTTAGGATGAACCGAAAATTCTGAAAATCAATAGGGTTCTAAGTTAGAAGCAGTTATTCAAGAAAATCAAAACAGCAAGTCAATCAGAACTTTCGTTCTCGAGTTATCGTGCCGGCATACATACAAACAGACGACCAGACGAAACATTTTTGTTTGCATTTTCGGACTCAGAATGATCGGAAACATAAAAAAAAAGTTTAAAAAAATTGGGGTAAGATAATTTTTTTGTCTGCACGAATTCAATACTGAGGCCCCATAGGAAGGGCCTCAGTAATAGAGCCAAATTTTTGAATCTTATTTCATTAAATGAATCGAGATTGTACACTAACCTTTAAGTAACTGTATGAAGATCTGGTTAACAGTGTTATTCCTAATAGCTTGCTCATTCATTGGAACTATGGCTTTCTCGGGATCTGTGATAGAGTTTCTCTTTTCCAACCATTGTTTTAGAGTTGAATGGCACAATGCCATTTGGATAAACAGAGTTGCCCACTTTACTTTGGTTTTATTGAGAGATCTAATCCTTTGAATTTCCTTTAGATCTAATTTTGCTACTGCCATGTCATCTTCGCCTTCCGAGAGACTCTTTCTCTTTCTTCTCCTCCTAGAAAAAAAAAAAATAAAAATTAAGGTCATAAAATGTTTGTAATTGTAAATATTAATTTTAGATAGGACAATCATATCTTCTATTAACAATATTAAAAAATAGTGTCAGGTATGTATGCTTTCTTTTTGTTTAAAGAGAAGAAATCTTTAAATACTTTCCAGTGTTGCATAATTTTAGAAGTACTTAATTTAAATGCTATGTAATCAATGTTGAATGTGTGCTATTATATGTAAGGACACAGATGGAAACCTTGTGGAACTCCAGATGTAACAGAATACTCATTATAATACTAACGTTTAATGATTATTTTTGTTCTAAAAAGGATACCATTTAATTCATTACAACAATAAGTAATATTATTTATATAAAAAGTTTTAGATTTTTTTGAATTAGAATTTTTGGGTGTTTGAATGAATTAATAACTATATATTCTATATTTTTTCTTTGTTTATATTTATTAAGGTTAATATTAGGCAGTTATTAATTTGTTTTTGACAATTCTTACCTTGATGTTGTTGAGGGCTTAGATTTAACTGAGTTGGCTCCGCTAACACTATGCTCAAAATCTATCTGAAAATCAGTGCTACCATCTTTTTGTGTTTCAGTGAAAGACTGCGTTGTTTCTTGATGATAAATGTACTCGGTTCCCTGAGAAGCAGAGGTAAATGATTCAGTCTCTTTGTGCTCTATACCTTTCTTTGTTGGCACCTCGAATTCTAACCATGCACCTTTATACTGTACTATATGGGAGTGGTTCATGCTTGCGAATGTTTTTACTTCAGAAAGATAGTTTCTGACTGACTGAATACCTTCAGCACGGATAGATATTTTTTTAACAGCATATTCTGCACCATCAAGTTTGTGCTTCACTCTGTAAACCTGAGGAGTAAAGAAATTGATTAAAACATATTGGAAATTATTTTTTATTTGAATTGTACCCGAATTAAATGATAATAGAAAATTTAGCTCAACTTGTCTCTGAATCATATAATCTCAAATTTCTTTAAAAAGTTGTATCTGATTTTTCTGTAAGCTCTATTTGAAAGTATGACACAACCCAATATACAAAAAATTAAATTTATACAATAATTTATTTAATAAAGTTAAATAGATGTTATAAAAAGAAAGAAAATATAAAAAAATACAAACTATAAGATACAGTTGAAATTAACCAGAGTAATAATTAAGCTTAATTATAATTTTTTTAATAAATAAATAATCTATTAAATAAGTTTTAAATTGATTTAGAATCTTATAACTTGGCAAATTTTTATATTCATTAAAGTCCATAAAAGTTAATGTTTTTGTGTTGAATGCCTTAATTTGGGTATGAGTTTGATAACTAAATATTATAAAATGATTAAAATAGGAAGGTAGAAAATTCTATGTAACAATCATGGAATAATTAGCTCTTCTACACTATAATGTAATTTTATTTTAATATTTGGGCAAGAACATGATGATAAAAGGAAATAACATGTCTAAGAAGACAGTAGAACATCAAGGCAATTTTGAGCTCAAACAAAAAAATTATGATCCTTGTTTTTTACAAAAATCAAGAGGCTCAAACCAGCATATCACCTTTGTTTTTTTAAGTTTTTTTTCTAATCACACCATATTTTTATGCTATTGAAATACTATCTTTTGAAAAAAAATTGTTATTTTTCAACGATGAAAAACTACTAGACTAATCCATTTTTTTATAGTTAAGCCCTTACTTATTGCAGTCAGAACGAGACGACTGCTAATTTGAGTGCGAGTATGTTTTTATGAATCAGCCTTAAAATGAATTGCATACTTTTCTGGAAATCACCTTCAACTATGACAGTTACAACGAGAAAAATACATTAAACTAAATAATAACTGGCATTAGGAATGCAAATATACTTCCTTAAATTATTCTTACTTCACTTTTCTTTCAATATAGTTTCACATTTATGGCATAGGTACCATACTCGAAAACTTAAAACTGGTAATGAAGGATCTGAGAAATTTGTTGTAGGATAATATTATATAGATTATCGTCCCTCTACACGATGTCATAGGGCAAGTTGAAGTAACTGAGATGGGATGAGAATTTGTGTCCACCGATGACAGTCTGAATCTGATTGACCTTAAATCTACGAACTCAGATAACAAAGCCTATGTGTCTTGGTAGCTCAATTGGTAAGAAAATGGACAGCTAAAGTCCGAGGTTCCAGGTTCGACTACTGGAAGATGCGCTTATTTTTTCTTCCTTTAATTCTCAGCATTTTCAATTATTCTTCGGTTTGTTTCTGAATATGAGGCTGTAATTTTCATAATTTTGTAAAAGAATTATTGGGGATTTTTCATGTTCATGTTTCCAAAATTGTTGGAAATGAAAACTAAATTAAATTAAAAAAAAAGTTTATTATTTAAGTATCAAGGGGAAAAACAAATTTCATAATTTTTTCTATTGAAACAAGCTTAGTTCCGGACGATATTAAGAATTTTTGAATCCAAGTAAGGCTACCCATTTAAGACCGATAAATTTGATCACTGCTGTTGGAAAACTAATAGAAAAAGTAATATATTTTCAAATTATTGATTATTTAGAGCAGAACAGTTTGATAAGTAATGTGCAATCTGGATTCCATAGTAAACACAACTAGCTTGGTGTTGTATGACTGGAAGTTATCAATTGAAAATAATTTGTGTTTTTAGATTTACAGAGGGAATTTGAGACTATTAATAGGGGTAGATTATTAATGAAATTAAGAGCTATTGGTTTGGGGGGTTGTGCACTGGACTGGTTGGATCATTAAATGGAAAATAGGAAACAGAAGGTTAAGGTAAGTAATTATGTTTCAGATACTATAGAGAATAATATGGGGGTGCCACAGGGTAGTGTTCTAGGTCCACTACTGTTTTTAATTTACATTAATGACATTGCTGGTGTAGTCGAAAGATGCTCAATACACTTATTTGGAGATGATACACTGATATATTTTACCCATGAAAACCTGAAACTTGTTTTAAAGAAATTGATAGTTCTATAAGTAAAATATAACAGAAATTTGTTGAAAATAACTTACGAAAAGACAAAGTGGATGTTAATTGGGGGTACTGGAAATTAAAAAAAAAATAAATGTAGCATCGCAGTGTGTTTCTGTTGATGGAATAAAGTTTCAGAGAGTTGAAAAATTTAAATATCTAGGGGTTATTTGATACAAATTTAAAATCTAAGGAACATGCTAATGACGTCATCAAAAGCATATTATTTAAAATAATAATTTATAATACTCTAATATTGCCTCATTTTAATTATTGTGCCACTATATTGTATTTGCTCAACCAGAATGAGTTGCAATGATTGCAGAATAGAGGTATGAGGATAATACTGAGCTGTTCGAGATTGGAACCAATCAATTCCATGTTGAATGTGCTTCAGTGGTTGCCTGTTAAAAAATATTTGCTATTCTATTCCCTGCTATTTATATTTAAGATTAAATCAGGAATCTTCCCAGTATATTTACAAAATATTTTAAGTTATAATCAGGATGTTCATGAACACAATACACAAAATAAGAAAAATTTTAGTTTATAAGGCCACGAAAAAATGTACACAAATTCAGTGTTTTTTAAAGGTGTACAGGCTTTTAATAATTTGCCTGAAGATATTAAATGTTCTTCAAACGCAGCAATATTTAAAAGAAAACTGCGTGAGTACTTTCTTGTTATTCTTTTATTATGTTTTGTATAGTTGACATGTAAGTGTACTGTATTTTATTGTATTTTGAATGTATGTTGATTCTATACTTATGTATTGTTATGAAATTCTTAAAGCCTACCCTGTGTACGCTCGACCTTCACATTGCGACCGACTCGTGCTCGAGGCGACGGAATGTTCTGGGAATGCCGCTGAGGCTCGAGAAACAGCTGGAACGGCGGAGAAGTGCCGATTAGTCATAGGGGTAGAATCTTCGCGAAGTCTCTAGCATTTTCCAGTAGCGGAGTTAGACTAATATAAATAGCCGACGTATCAGCGCCCAGTTTAGTTTAATGTAGAACATTGTATTGAAAAGTTAAAGTGTAAGAAACAAATTAGAATTGTTAGTTAGTGTCTAAATATTACATAAATTAAATAGTACGTCTGAAATAAATTGTAAATAGTGTTTTTAAATAAATAAACTTTAAATAAATTAGACTTTCGTCACAGTATTTTTTATATTTTAAATGTGAAGATGTATTGACATGTAAAAAATGGAAATAATATCCTGTGAACAATAGGATTAATAATCAGTATGATATAAAATCTAGAAGATACATACAGGAAAAAAGTCAGGGGTACAAATCAAAAAAAGTTTAAGTTTGTCAACAACTAATTGCATATGTTTACAAAAACATTAATAATGAATTAACAAATTAACAAAATGAAAAGCCTGGAGACTACCGCATGGTCTGCTGTAGGGTTTGAAGCAAATGAATGCAAGCATATAAGACACCTATGCTATCGAGATGATTACAGATAGTGATATATTTTCATCATCACTTACTACAGATTTTTATAAAACCTAAAAATGAGGTGTGGTTGTCTTCTTTTAAACTTAAAAAATGAGGTGCTTTGCTGGCTTAATTGCTAATTCGAAGCTAGCAAAGTACCCAATATTTTTTTAAATTTATCAATTTTTTAAAAGTTGTTTATTTTAAGAACTTAAAAATATGTCGTTTTTGGAAAATATCTTAAAAACAGGGGTGCGCTGCTAGCTTCGTTCAATTTTTGTAAAAAAAGAGGAGCATAAAATTTTTGAATAGGGTATAAAAATAGCCTTAAATATAGCGTTTCAACGAAAATTCCCTAGGTGCTCTGCTATCTTCTTTAGCATGTTAATAGTGCCATTTCATAATTTATTTAAAAAAAAAAAAAAAGATTTTCTGGTAGCGATTCTTCTTAGTGATGGTAATCTTGTAGTTGACAGGTCTAGAAATGCCCATATTCACACCACTCTGCACTGACGTCTAGAATTTGAATTTGATACAAATTTGAATTTTGTAATTATCACTATTGAAAGGTATTATTGACATTAAAAATAACATCCTATTACTTGAAAATCTTCAGAACATTTATTTATTTTTATGGGATTTGTAATCGATGTAAAAATTGGTAAATAGGTGATTAAAAGTAAAATAGTTATTTCAATCTGCTTATTCCCTGATTCCAAATAATTAAATATAGCCTGGCAACTATATGTAATGATTCCAATTGTCAGAACTAGCCGGAACAGGAATGGTGCAGACAGGCGCTTTTCCAGACCCTTCAACTACAAGAATACCTTAGTGATTTTGTTTTATATTGGTTTTTAAAGTAGTTTTCTATGAAAGTAAAATTTGTGCAGATAATCTTTAATATTATTTAATGAGTATTGACAATTTTTTTTTACAAATGTAACTCTGAATATTTTTACTAGTATTTTTTTAAAGTGTTTTATGTAAAAAAATATATATTACCTGACCAAAACCTCCACCAGCAATGAATTCAACTTCATCAAACTCCCTATGATAGTGTGAATTAAATTCGGACTTGGGCCAAATAGGACTAAGAGGTAAAGATTTGTCACCGCCTTTAACGGAAGACAATAGTTGCATTAAAGCTCTTTGGTACTGGCTTCGCATGCCCTCGAATTCATTCATACTATAGCTTTCCCCTAGAAGGTTCATGTTATACAATTTATCACAAATTACTTTATACATATTTTCCGCTTTTTGTTGGTCAGACTCATAAATTGTGCATATATTTTTAACGAGTGATTCTATGAGTAGACTAACTGGGATGGACATACTGGGTTTTGGGACAACCATAACGTGCTGAGTATCTGTTTTCTCATTCCTAGGAATTTCACTATTGGTAGGTACATCTGTATAATTTTCATCATCTTCTTCATCTTCGAAATCAACTGAGATTCCTTCACTAGTATTCATGTCAGGACTTGTTTACTGTTGTCTAAGTAGTATGAAATGGTCATAAATAAATAATTTAAATAGTTATTGACTAATTTTGCTTACGTAAATAAATGCTATGGCACTATAAATAAAAATGGGTGAATACATTTAAATATTCAATAAGAATTATAAAATTTGTTCTTAAAATTTAAACACATAACCTTGTTTTCCGTCAACATTCGAACATTACAAACCAACTGTCAAATTGTTCACTGAAAAGTCTAGAACACAAAATGCGCGTGCTCCAACTCGACTGCACGTTGCACACGGTTGCACAATACTTTCAACAGAGACGGACTCTATAATTTTGAAGAAAATATATTTTTTTAATATGTACTTTTTTGTTCTGTGAAGCGGGCGAGCTGAATAACTCCTTCCGGGGACCTATTTTCAAAGTATGTGAGCACTCATTTCTCTCAAGATTCTCATCAGAAATGTCATACGTCAATGTGGAAACGCTGTATTTAAAGGCATCGAGGATTAAAATTCTTAGGAGAATTTTAATTATTTCTAAATAAACCGAGAGAAACAGTCAGTGAGTTCACACTGGCCCTAAGAGCCTTAAAAATACTGTTTTACGTTGACGTATGACATTTCTCTTGATGGAAATGAATTCTCTCGAGTTTGAAAATAGCCCCCCAGGGCATCGGGGTGATAGAAGTCCACCAAATGGCTAATTCAGAAATGGGGCCTCGGCGACGTTATTAGTCTAATGTTGCCAGATTGGAATATTTAAAAATCGGGTATACCAATCAAAAGGCTGTTAAAAAATCGGAACTTTGAATAAAAATCGGGATGCTATTTTTTCAAAGGAATAATATATATTAGGGGAAATAAAATACATAATTTTCAAAACAGATCAATAAAACTGCTCATATACTAGGTACAAAAAATATTGTTACGCTGGTTTTTGGATCTCAATTTATTTCAATTCAATTTATACAATAAATCAACTATACAACTGATAACATTAACGTATAACGTCTATCATAAAACTGAAACTCTGACGTTAGGATCGTCGACTTATGTAGCTCGCCTTAACCTTCTAGAACCTTCTAGAACTATCCGGATTTTTCTTGACAAGGAATGACATATCCAGATATTTCTTCTTCTTCTTCTTCTTCTTCTTCTTCTTCTTCTTCTTCTTCTTCTTTTACTCGTACTTTTACTTATGACGACTGCAGCACACTATAGGGCATGGGTGACATTTCACTTCTTTTTGTATTCGTACGTTTCCTATAGCAGCCACAGGCTACTGCATGATGAAGGGTAACATTGGCCGCATTCAGCAGAAGCAATCGATTTATGATTTTCTGCTGAATGATATATAAAAGAGCGATTAGTAATCAAATGATGAGTTATCGGCCGCCATTTAAAACATCGAATTTGAAATACGATTAGTTATCACATCGTGATTAGATTTAGAACTCATACCAACTGAAGTGAATGTTTTGTGGTGGTGCTCATAACTCATAACCTTATTTTATGTTTATTTAGAATTCATTTTTACACTGAATTTGTAATTTTTCAATGAAATGGAGGACTTTGAAGTGATATATGTTTATAGCAATATGAAAGATATTGTAGTTGGTAATGAAGTGTTGCACAATGCATTAAAATCAGGCAAATACATTAATTTATAATTATGTAGTTGAGTAATTTATTTGGTGTTTTATTCTGAATTTTGTACCTATGTTTTAGATGATGACTTTTTTCTGAAGTACATGTCACTTTTATGTCGCCTGTTGAAGTGCCTAAAAAGTTCATTCAGGAGATTCACTAATCGATAAGTCATCGCTAAGTTATCGTTTGATAATCGGTTGCTTCTGCTGAATGCGGCCATTGCTCCCTTTTCTCTAATTATTCGCCCCGAATAACTTGATTACTGGGACCTGGTTTGGAGCCAACGGGGAGGATCTGGATCACGGTATGACGTTAACTTTTTAATGTGAACTACGTTGGGTTTACTTCCCGCTAACCACTGAGATTGATAATTTTCTTGAGGACGGTGTAGGGGCCTTCCCAATTACGTTGCAGTTTCTGACAAAGTCCTTTCCGGCGCTTGGGGTTATACACCATAATGTGTCCCTGTGACATGCATGTTGATTCTAGCTTTTGTTTTATCGCTATTGACTTTCAAACGTTGCCGAGCGAATTCGTATAGGTACCTTCTCTAATCTTTGTCTTAAGTACTGTATATACGTAGGAGGTATACGGCCCTCTTCTTCACCAGGAGACTGCCTTCCAAAAATAAGATCATGGGGAAGTTTTCATCTCCCTTCCAATAATCATCATCGATGGAGTATAACTGGTCGATTCATGTTTAGAACTTCGGTAGGCTAGCAGTAGAGGAATCAAAGTGTCCCAGTCCTTTTGATTTTCAGAGACGAACATTCAAAGATATTGGCATATAATTCTATGGTGTCTTTCTACCATTCTGTCGGACTGTGTGGGTGGAGAGGCGTAATGCGTGTTTTTCTGAAGCCTAACGGTTTCATCAATTCTTACCATAATTCGAATTCCAAATTTTGTCCTTCGTCAGAATGCAATTCCAGAAGCACTCCATGTCTCACTATGACGTTTGTCATATATGCTTCTGCTACTGTCGTCGCTTCCTGATTAGAAATAGGGGCTATTTTGGGCCACTTTGAAAAATAGTAGTTCAGAAGAACCATCAAGTATTTGTTTCTCCTTTCTGTTAATGGAAGTGGTCCGAGGATATCTATGGCGATCGTTTGAAAGGCTCTCCGGAAAGACTTCTTGTTTTGGGCCCTTTCCTGCCATTGAATAGATCACATTTCTTATAACAATCTTCTACATCCCTTCGGAAATTGACCGAATAAAATATTTCTCGAACTCGTGCCAGTGTCCTTTTAGTACCAAAATGTCCTCCTGAACGGCTGCTATGAAGCTCTTCCAACAAACTTCTGACAAGTGATTTTGGAAGTATCACTTGTACATGTACTCCATCGGAACTCTCCCACTTCCTGTGCAATAGGCCAACGTGAATATAGAGGGAATCCCACTAGGTTCAGTACCCTTTAATAGTTCCACTACATCTGGCTATAACTTGCCAAGTAAGTCTGACTTCATTTTTGAGCCATTCTCGGACAACCTTCAAGTCGTTGTCTTTCTTTTGAGTCTGCTTCAGACTTTCAAGGGTGATTCCATCTTCGTCATCCTCTGGGTTGATGGTGGTCGCCTGAAGACTAACTTCTTCAACCAGCTCCTTTCGTTTTTCGAGCCTTTTACAGTACCGGCATTGTCGTTCTAAGCAGGGTATTCTGGAAATAATGTCTTCGTTGCTATGGAGACGGCCCATTCGAAGGACTATCTCGAAGTTATATTGTTGCAGTCTTTCTATCCATCTAGCAACTTGTCCTACAGGTTTTTTAAAATTCATCTAATGATAAAACTTCTGTTAAAAAGGCAAGTATGGAAGTGTTCAAGGACTCGACAATAATTAAAAGTTCTTTCCTATTAACGCATAATTCTCAGCTTTTCCCAAAGTCTTAGTAAAATAGGCAATTACTTTCTCTTCCCCCTTCTGTTCTTGGGATAGCACGGCGCCCACGCCGTGTTAGGATGCGTCGCAGTCCAAAATGAATTGTCTTATTTCTCTAGGGTAAGCTAGGATAAGTGTCGTGATCAATCGATTTTTCAACTCGGTGATGGCATTTTGACAATCCGGCGTCCAGTCAAATAGACTACTGTTTTCTGTTAGTCGATGAAGGGTTTTAGCAATTCGGCCAAAGTCTTTGACGAATTTCCGGCCCAAGAAAACATCTAATGCATTGTCATCGAGATATACTAGACGAGTTTTCCAGGTTTATCAAAATCATTTCGATTAGTCGTTCAAAGGTAGCTGGGCATTACAGAGACCAAACGGGAAATCCTAAAATCGGTATAATCCGCTGCCAGTTGAAAAAGCTGTTTTGTCTAGATCGTCAGGGTGTACTTCCACTTGCCAGTATCCGCTCTTCAAGTTTGGCGTGGAAAACCATTTTGCACCTGATACAGTGTTTAGTGTGTCGTCTATTCGGGAAGTGGATAGCTGTATTTTTGTGTTATCTGATTTAATATTCTATAGTCTACACAGAAACGAGTAGATCTGTCTTTCTTAGTTACTAGGACCACAGGTGAGCACCAGGGACCAGAATATTTAATATTATTTGCATCATACCATGTATTATATTTTTGCTACTTCTCTGTTTAGCAAATACGCCACGTAAATGTTCCTGTCTCAAAAATGTCACAGTTGGTATTAATAAATTCTTTGACTTTAAGTTCTTCAGCTGTCAGATGGTCATAATTTTTAACAAGTCGTTCCACAAAGCTGCCGTCAACTGGGCTACTTGTGAACTGTCTTCGCACTTGATTATATTTTCAACCGATGTACAGCGCCTTATTATTTGTCCTTTCTTTAGTTTTAATGGTTTTTTAGATAAATTGGCAACTTTTACTGGAATCAGTTGATCTACACGTTAACGAGACATCTAGCTACCAGAATTCCTCCACTCACAGATTCTTCACTTTCCACAATGCCCACATGTAAGCCATGTGATTTCTTGCTAAGTCTCGCTGAGACGACAGTTTCAGAATTTTGGGGTCTTCTATGTCTTCTTCCACGTATCTGTTGAGTGTTTTTTCCGAATTTAGGGCAATTTCCTCGTTTCCAATTACCAAGATCTTGTTTTGAAGGTCGATGATAATCTTATTTTGCATAATGTCCATACCGAGGACACATTGATCCTTAATATCGGCCACTAGAAATAAGTGTTCTATCAGGGTATTGCCAATCTGTATGGTTCCTGATATCTCGCCTAGAACAGGAGTAGTGTGTTTCCATAACTAAGCTTCTTCGAGTTGGTCGTGGTTTTCTATTCAGGATCCCTGTTCGAATTAAAGACATCTTGTGGTGTTGTAGCCGAAGAGCCTGCTGTATTTCTACATCCTGTAGTGTCCATCAATACAAGCCTGTATGCCGATTTGTTCTAAGAAATCTTTGGGCGCGTGGATAGGCCAAATGCAGCAATCTTTTTATATCTGACTACGAACTTTTAGCTGTCTATGAAATAGTTGTATCAAATGCTGCTGGCCATGTCTAGTCTCAAAAGCTTGGACAAGAGCTGAATAACTGGGTTCTTCTTGAGAAGTAACTGTAAAACGATTGCTGCCTGCCCTCGCAGAGACACTATCAGTGAAGCCACCATCTCTTTCTCGGTCCAGCCATTAGCTCTAGCTGCAGCTTCAAATTGGAGTCGATATGTTTCCCATGTATTCTGACCGTCAAACGTGGGTGGTTTCAGGGTCTTGCTGCTATGGTTTTGTGAGACTGGGGTTCGAATATGACTTGGGTCGGTTATAGACGAGGTAGAGTGTTTTCAGCTTCAATATAACAAAAATTTATTTTATTCACAGCTAAAAAAAAAAAAAAAACAAAAACAAAAACAAAAACACTATCTTTAACAAAACAGAAACATATCAACTAAATTATCGGAAGATTCGGAAGTAATAATGACTATAATAGGCTTGTTTTGAGTTTTCGTTATTTCGCAAATCAGTTGAGAATCACTGAATTCCACTGGATCAGCTAATAGATTGTTATAACATCGCGGCGTGTTTTTAAAAAAAGTATTCGTCAACTGTATTTGACGGTTCTGTTTTCTGTTTGAATCACTGATTTTGAACCCAACCTTGCTAGATTTAGTAAAGTATTACAAATGCTTAAGAACAATCAAATTCTAGAAATTTACACCTTAATGTACTAAAGTCTTTTTATACAATATAAGTACTCCATTAATTATTTATCGCTTATCATAAAGAGTGGATATGATGGCTATATCGCACAAAGACGAAGTTTGAGCACGACGCCGTAGGCGGAGTGCTGAATCGTTTGAATGCGATACGGACAATCAGATTTGAACCCTAGACCATACGCATGGCAAGATAGTATGCTAGTCTCAGCTCAATCGACATACTTAACTTTTTATTTTTATTACTCATAATTAAATTGATTTCATATGGTTTTATTAAAATTTATTTATTTTTTTTTGTAAATACAGATGAATATCTTATGAAATGCTATTATTTATCGATTCTTCGCTCATTTTTAATTATATTTAATCTCAATAACTAAAGAATAAACTGACAAATTAGTTTTACAGATTTTTATTTAAAATTTTAAAAAATGATTATTTTGTATTATCACAATTAGCTATCAAATAGGAAAATGTACTGTCGAAAAAAGAAAATTTCCATTGAATTTCGTGTTTTGTCAGATAACGTGATACGGGTATTTGAAGAATACCGAATCTGCTTATTCAAAAAATACAAAAAAATCGACAGTTACGTACAGAGATGACCTATGTATATCCTATCAGTCTCCCTTGGTAAATTAATATTGAATTAAAAAACATATTATGATTAGATTTGCAGTGACATACTTATATTTTGTAAAATGATAATATATATTCAGATGCTGCTAGAGTTTAAATTATTATTTTTGCGAATTTGAAATATTTAAATTACATACTATTAATTTAGTCCGGTTCTGCTAATTAAGTGCCTAAAACTGGACAAAACAAAATAAAACCAAAGTAAAAGTTGAAATGTTGTTAAAAGAAATTTACTTAATAAAAACTTTCTTTATCCTTGTTTAAACCATCAAGACAATAAAGACAAAGATAAACAATCGGATAATCCAGTGTACTAGGAACCACACAACGGAACGTTTGCATTAAAGAGTCATTTTCCTGTCACGAAATGTCAAAACAAATCGCAATGAACAACTGTCAAAATACTCAGAAAAATGTTTTTGTTGCTTATTTATAGTGAAAAAATGCCCCGCGAATGTGAATTATCGGCGAATAAAAATTAATCTATCAGCAATAATGGAAGCATCGCTGCTCAAGTTTGTAGTTTCATAAAAAATTGCTCAGTTCGACAATATGCGTCCGCAAATAATCAATTATTCGTTGACGGAAATCGTGATATGTTTCATCGTCGTCGGATACGCGGCTGTGGATTTGGTTCCTTGTGATAAAACTCGCAGAATTTTCCAAACATCATGGGGTATAATAAGCGATGGACCTCAAGGCCTGAACTACACCCAGGATAGCCATTGTGAATGGTTGATCAAGGCCAATAGTAGCAACAAATTCATCACATTAAAATTTCGTAGCATGGGAACTGAGTGTTCTTACGATTATGTATTTGTGTATGACGGAGATTCGTTTAATTCTCCGTTATTAGGTAGCTTTAGTGGAAAGACTGAACCCCAGGAGGTCATTGCAACTTCTGGTTATATGTTAATTTTACTGTACAGTGATACTAATTATGTGTTAGATGGATTTAGAGCAGAATACTCAATTACTGACTGTCCCAATAACTGCTCTAGTCATGGTGTGTGTTATGATCATAGATGTGTTTGTGAGACAGATTGGGGCGGGTATGATTGTTCCAGAAAGTTGTGTCCAGATCACTGTGGAAGGCATCTTAGTCATGGACACTGTGATCAAGGACAGTGTGTATGTAGATCTGGATACTCTGGTCAGTCTTGCAATTTGCATGAGTTTGATCCCACTGGGAATAAATGGCATTGGTTGTCACATTCCGAAGGAGGCTTACAACCTCGTGCAGCACACTCTGCTGTATATATAGAAATGACTGATGCTTTATATGTTTTTGGAGGATATAATCTCAACACAGTACTTGGTAATTTAGAAATATATAGTTTCCAGTCTAGTAATTGGAGAGATGAGCATGGAGTAATCATTCCAGACAAGGGCCTTCTAAGCCCTATAGAACCAAGTTCTATAGCTAAGTTAATAGAACATGCAGGGCCTGATTGGGAACAAAAATGGGGACTGAATAGCAGGACGTCATTCCTAAGAAACCTTCTCTATGCAGCTACTGAAAATACTACACATGTAAGAAGAAGACAAAGGCATTCTAGAGTACCAGAAGAACAAAAACCTCCACCCAGATATGGTCATTCAGCTTGTGCTGTGTCTCAAGGTTTTGTGCTTTATGGTGGAAAACTCCAAAATGGCAGCTTAGCTAATGATCTCTGGTATTATAATGTTCAAACTAGGCAATGGCAGCTAAGAGCGAGATTAACAAATTTAATACCCCCTAGATTGACAAGACATACTTTGACTTGTGCTAATAATGTGATATATTTATTTGGAGGTAGTACTGAAAATGGAGAATTTTCCTCAGCTTTATACAGTATTGAATTATTATCAGATTTAGATGAATCGTGGCAAGAAATTAAACCTAGAGGAGGGAAACAATTAGATGTTAGAGTAGTAGCACATACAACAACATATCATCCTCATACAAATTCGCTTATAATATATGGTGGAATTGTTCCTGGAGTAGCCAGGTTTTCAAAATTATCTGATAAGATGTTTGTTTTTCAATTGGATCATTTGCATTGGACTGAAATTCATTATACAAGAGAAGCCTTGAGAGAGAAATTTGTGCCAAGGGAAAGAGCTTTTCACACAGCAAATATTTTTGGAAATTATCTGATTGTTTTTGGGGGATACTCCCACAGACATAATAAGGAAGAAATATGCTATGATAATCAAATGTATTTGTACCATTTGGGTTGCCATACTTGGGTTAATCCAGATATATTGGGAAAGACTAATGATTCTAGATATCCTAAACAACAAGGTAAGTAAGGATTACTAAATATTACTATTTTTTTATAATTAACGTTTAGTCTGTGAGATATCGAACATCATGGACGACTCACCTGTTGTAGCCATTAAAAAGACTTAATTCGTTAAAGATGATTTAATCATTAAATTTACATTATTGCTTTAAAATTATCTCAATACCAATTGTCAATTTTTAATCATTAATGATAACAAATTAGTAATTGACTTTAAATGTAGTGCTAACCTACATCATTATTAAGTACTACAATATTGCATTTTTCTCAAAAAAAAATAATAATAATAATAATAATAATGCATCTTTATAGTATGAATATAAACGAAACTAAATAAAAAATCTTTCATTATCTAAAATGAATTGAACCCTTTACATTTGTATTTATTTTTAACTTCATAAAATTAAATATCCTGATTTATATCTTTGCATCGTAAATATTCAGATAAATATGGGTAATTATAATTTCATATTGACTGAGTTACTTTAAAGAATATACTTATTGTTATAAATTCCATTCTCTGTAAAAAATCGTAGCAATTTTTTTTATTCTGTTAACATTTCGATTTTATTTTTGCCTTCATAAAATTTTACATACATATGTATAAGTTTGTAGGAAAACCTGTTTAATTAATATAATTTTATACTGACTAAATTACTTACACTTAACCTTAGACTTGTAAACAAAGCTATTAAAGTTAATTAAATATGTAATTTTTGTTGTATTGTCTGCGAATAAACATTTTAATGAATTTTTTAATGCACCTTAGGCATATCTTTAATAATACTTAATAAATGGCACATCATGGGTGGAATAAAATTCTTACAATCCATAAACCGTGACCCTTTTATTAAAAAAAAATGCTAAAAAGGAACGGGTGTGAAGTTATCCACATCTACAAATGTATACTGAGAAAAAAACAGCTCCATTGTAATAGTCATATAACTTGGTTCAAATTACATGTAGAGGCTTTTTATTTGCAGATTTCAATTGGGGAGGTTTCAATACATAACAAGCATACCCACAATTAATTTTTGCTCCGTCTGAGGGGGTGCAATTGGGGCTGAAATATAAAAAAAATGATAGAAGCCACAAATGGGCATTGTACACCTTTCTGCTTGGGATATGTTATGTAGTTTGCTCTTTTCTTCATCCCTGATACCATGCTGGGGTTTGTCGAGCCATCTGAGGGGGTGCAATTGGGAGTGAAATTTAAAAAAAAATCATAGAAGCTACAAATGGATTTGTACACCTTTCTGCTTGGGATATGTTATGTAGTTTGCTCTTTTTTTAATCTCTGATTCCATGCTGGAGTTTTTCGAGCCGTCTGAGGTCTTACAATTAAGGGTGAAATTTAAATAAAATCATAGAAGCCACAAATGGGGTTGTACACCTTTCTGCTTGGGATATATTATGTAGTTTGCTCTTTTATTCGTCCCTGATACCATGCTGGAGTTTGTCGAGCCTTCTGAGGGGGTGCAATTAAGGTTGAAATTTAAAAAAATCTACAAGCCTCAAATGGCATTGTACACCTTTCTGCTTGGGATGACTTTGATTTTAATATTCAATAAATAAGAAAGAGCTTTGAAGAGGAAGTATCTTTCTACTTTTCAAAAATATATAAAGTTTTTTTATAATTTTATAGTTTTTAATTTTTTTTAATTTTATTTTATGAAACCACCTATTTTTTTTATTTTCATTTCTTAATTAAACATGTTTTAAGATTAACATTTAAATAGTAATTTTTAAGGTCCAAATTTATAGTCACAAAACAAATTCTGTTTATACCCCTCATTTTATTATTATTTAACAATATTTATTTTTAAAATTCCAAATCAATAGCTGTGGAAATAAAAAATATCATATCCAGAAAAATCGAAGTGATTCTGAACTCAAATGATAGAAATATTGACAATATGTTCTTATTTAAGTATTCCGAAATTTAAAATTATATCTTTGAAATTATGAAAGGTATTGATTTTTTTTAATTTCACCCTTAATTGCACCCCCTTAGACGGCTCGACAAACTCCAGCATGGTATCAGGGATGAAGAAAAGAGCAAACTACATAAAGCCGGGATCCAACGGCGCGTGGAGCGGCACTCCTCGGCGCGTGGAATGGCAATCCTGGGTTGTGAGTTGAGTCTGAACGGTCGGACCGTTCCCACGGCGCATGAGGATCGCGCAGATGTGGACACGCGCCTATTGCAGTCTGTTTTACGAAGGCAGTGTTGGCGATAAAAAATTCATAATTTTGATTAATTGCATGAAAAGATGAACCGTGAGCGGACGCGTATCGTTGCTGCCTCAGCCTTTTATTTTATGTTAGGGGTTTACAGGATGGCAAGGGAACAAAAAATAAAACGAAAACAAAGAAGATGGTGGAGAGTGTCCTTGTATAGAAATTGAGATAGGTAAGTACATTATAGAATATTTTGCAACAAGTGTTTAAAACTGATGTTCACAAGTGTAATATACTATAATTTTTCTACGACTGCAATTTGGTTCAGAAACCAAAAAAATGGGAGTCTTATTTTACACACATTTGGAAAAGGCTTGGAATAATAGACATAGTCTGACAGTCATAAAAATAAACTTTGGAATAATTTGTAATTTTAATGTTTTTGCTGCAAATAATATAGTTTTCTTTTAATCATTTGTAGGTACAGTGCCACAGACATGTTAGAAGATTTACGCCAAGAACCCTCAGGCTATTTTAAAAACTTTTGTCGAAAAGTTTCCGAAAGATTCCCATTACCCAGACAACACACCAAGTCCCAGAGATATCCACAGAATATATTTTGTGGATATCCAATATATCCACAGGATATCAGAAATATTCCGTGGAACTAATATGGATATCCAAATGTCCGTCTATATCCAGAATATAGAAGATATCCTATGGATATTCAGCAAAATATCTAATGAGTATCTCCAGACAATACAAGAAATCCCAGATATATCCATAGAATATATTTTGTGGATATCCAACCAAATGTCCGTCTATATCCCAGGATATAGAAATTCAGATAAATATTTTATAATTATTTTTAGTAGAGGTTCATAAGTAACCAATGGTTATTGAATAACGTCGAAAGAAAATAGAGGTAAAAAATATTCCCAACAATCTGCCTTTGATTTTGCCTACTAAGGAAAAAATCATCCTTATTAGGAATCTTCAGCAATAAATGGAACTTCTCGACTTCAGTCTCTAAAGAAGTCTGTTTGTGAAACAATGTCGATCAAACTCAATTACGGCGGGTTAAGCATGAGTAGATACGAAAGTGGTATCGCCATCTATACTTAGGAAGCAAAATCAAAAATTACATCTAGTAGATATCCACGATGGTTTGCGTCCGCGCTTAGACTTTGATATATTTATATTTATAGTGGATGTCCATGGGATATTGAATACACCTTAAAAAAAATAATTTTAAATATCTCAACGGTACTATTAGCCACAATGGCGAGTACAATGGCGTAATTTTTTAATAATTTGCTATATAATTACAATTATTTATGGACATTTGCATGTCTATAAATTACATTTCATGGATATAAAATAGATATCCACCATGGACTGGACATTCAGTGGATATTGGGATGTTCAGTAGATATCCAAAGGATTTGGTGTGCTGTCTGGGTAATGTATCTTTTTTTTTCAAATCTGCGATTGAACATTTTACGCTCATTTGCTCTTCAATTCGCCTCCAGGCATCATGAACTAAGTTCCTGTTTTTATGGTTTGGATCCCGTGGGTTCCAAATAATTGGCTCGGCTTCATAAAATGATAAAAATTCTAACAACACTTCGTTAGACCACTCCATGGTGAAAGTTACCACGGCACTGGTAGTACCACGCTCCTAGCCGCGCCGTTGGAGCTGTAAGCACGTGTGGCGCGCCAACGTCCGCGCCCCTTTGAACCGTGTTGATTTACCGACAGACGACGGGACTCATCGCGCCGACCGAAGATTGGCAAGCTTGCCCTATCCAACGGAGTGGGAACTGGCAAGTTTGGCGCGTGGAGTGCCGCTCCGCGCGCCGTTGGATCCCGGCTTAACATATCGCAAGCAGAAAGGTGTACAAAACCATTTGTGGCATCTATGACTGCACCCCCTCAGACGGCTTGACAAACTTCAGCATGTTATCAGGGATGAAGAAAAGAGCAAACTATATAATATATCCCAAGCAGAAAGGTGTAAAAGCCATTTGTGGCTTCTATGATTTTTTTTTAAATTTTATTCCCAAATTCACTCCCTCAGACGGGCCAACAAACTCCAGCATGGTGTCAGGGATGAAGAAAAGAGCAAACTACATAACATATCGCAAGCAGAAAGGTGTACAAATCCATTTGAGGCTTCTATGATTTTTTTTAATTTCATCCCCATTTGCACCTCCTCAGACGGCTCGACAAACTCCAGCATGGTATCAGGGATGAAGAAAAGAGTAAATTATATAACATATCCCAAGCAGAAAGGTGTACAAAGCCATTTGCAGCTTCTATGATTTTTTTTTAAATTTCATCCTTAATTGCACCCCCTCAGACGGCTCGACAAACTCTAGCATGGTATCAGGGATGAAGAAAAGAGTAAATTATATAACATATTCCAAGCAGAAAGGTGTACAAAGCCATTTGCAGCTTCTATGATTTTTTTTTAAATTTCATCCTTAATTGCACCCCCTCAGACGGAGCAAAAGTTGATTGCGGGTATGGTTGTTATGTATTTAAACCTCCTCAATTGAAATCTGCAAATGGAAAGCATCTACATGTCATTTGAACCAAGTTATATGACTATTACAATGGAGCTGTATTTTTCTCAGTGTACATTTGTAAATGTGGATAATGACCATGGCTCTTTCCGAAACTTCGGCATGGAGCCGACCTTGTCTCACATACTTTAATAAAATGGATTGTTGAGTTTAGGTATAATATTGTTATATGAGGTGACAATTTAAAAATGTACAATACATTGCAATAAATCTCGTAAACATGAACGATA